TGTCAGCTGGCAGGGCCATTGCAGCCCCTCCTCCTCCTCCTCCAAAAGACATGCACGGAGTCGCGTTTTCTGATGACATTTGCGCTTGTGAAGGAGAGTTTGGAATATATGCCAGGATGTTTTTTGTTCTTTCAGACACTAAAATTTGAATGCAGCTATTTACCTTATTTGAGCTTCCCCCGTACTCTTTCCTACAGCAATTTGACAGCTAAAGCAAAGCAGTAGGGCATGCATTTTGTAATTCTTTTTGTTGGTGTGAATACATTTCAATCAACTTGGAAGCTCCTCCTACTTCTAGGTAATTCCTCAGTAGTTATTACACATATACTGTGTATTTCTGGGGCCTTGCAATGATTCAGCCTGAGACAGCTTAATGCTTTTTTCTTGTAACCCAATGCTGGCAACTTCATTGAGGGTATTAAGACCCAAATCCAATCTCGAGTCAGGTCCGTTAGTCCTTCTGTTCACTTTTGCAGCCAGCTTTTAGTTATAATCTCCTACTTTTGTTCTTTTTCTGCCACATCTATTGTGGTGTAAAGATTAATATATTTAAAAATTTGCTTTGTTTGGCTTATTCCAGTCAACTTGCACATGTGTCTAAGTGCTAATCAGGGTGGATTTTTTAACTTGGCCCTTTGCAAAGGATAAGACAAGTCTGAATTTGTCAGGGGTTTTTTAGATTAGTTGTGATGTTTTTACTGGATTTTTTTATTATTATTACCTTTTTCTTTCTGGAGGCATGTTGAATTGTGGCAGGTGAGTTCTCAGTGCAAAGTGAACAATGGATAAGTAGGCCTTTTTTCTGTAAACAGTAAGTTTTTCCCATTTGACCAATCTCAACTTGAGAATCACACTTCAGAGAGGAATAATTCAATTAACAGTGGTGGCACCTTCCAGCCTCTGGAAGAAGCTGATTTTCTTTGCTGCACTTGAACTTTTAGTGCTGTTAATTCACTGTATGTTGGGTGATTGATCACCTGGATCTAGCTGGAGGCTTTTACCCCCAGGCTTGGAGGCTTGCAATATACACCCCCACCCAGATTCCAGAAGGGCTGTCTTTCCCCAGAAATGGTCAGGATACATCTCAAAAGAATTCATGAAGTTTCTTTCATTCAAAGATCAGGTGATTTGTAAGAATATTTTCAGGGTGCAGATATGCATCTGAGAATGATGGTTGCAAATTAAGACTTTGTGGATGTAATTAGTCTGTTTCACTCTTGAGCTGTAGCCAGGGAAATGGCAGCTGCCTGTGACTTCTATGCAAGCTGAGGATGCTCATGGTTTTAATCAGTTTACTTCTTGTTTCAGTGTAGAACCCTGTGCTTTTCCTTGGGCTGTGTCTCTGCTGACAGGAGATCAGCCAGTGTGAATGTCTGGACAAGGTTGCCTTTCCATTTATGCACTGCACTAGTGTGAACTTCTCTTAGGTTTTTGTTCTTATTTGGCTGCTTAGCTCAAGTTGGAGATGAATGGCTTAGCGTGTTAAGGGTGTTTAAATGATTAGCAAATGTCGAATTCTATCCAGAATAAATAACAGATTAAATTACTTAATTACAATGGTGTGTCTAATGGCAATTGCTAGAAAGTAAATACAAGCTCTCAGTTCCACAATGATGCTGTCGTTGAGACTGTTGCTTCTGGTAACACTAGGAGATAAAGATCCTCATGGTGACATTCATAACTTAAAAATCGGAGCGATTTCTAAGCCAAAATTATATTGCACTGGTGTGAAAAAAGCCACTCTTGGATTCTAAAACTGTTGCTTTTTAAGTTTGTCTATTGTACTTTCAGTCATAAATACATTTATTTATAGTCTAATAGTCTTTGGTTTTGCTTTGGACTTCCTTTGGCTGTTTTCATCTATCCACTATGCAGACTCTGAAGAAGGATGTTTAGCAACCTGTGAATTTTTCTGCAGTGCAGGTTAGGGATGGGAAACAGGTGGATAGAGGCAGAGAAGGGAGCACAGGGTGGCAGAGATGATCCTGAGCAGCACAGTAAGCTCAGCAGGTCAGCTGTGCCATCAGATGCTCCCAACATGTGCATGTCTCCATAGCAGTTGTGGGAAGCATCATAGAATACACAGGAATTGCCACAGAATACAGTCAGGGACTGGGCAGACACCAAGCCTTGCTTTCTTTCTGACTGGCCTGAAGTCATGCAGAGTTAATAATACAACAGTGTAGGTGTTCAGCTCAGGCTCTTCCATTCTGTGCTCAGCATGGAGCCTGTATTGTCCATCTCTCCAGGGAAAAAGGCTTCCTGAGTCACCTGCCATTGGAGGGCCACGTGCCTTGGGAGTCACTGGCCCTGCTGAGCATGGTAACCGGGCAGCTCCAAATTAACAGGTGGGAATAGGACAGAGGAAGAATTAGTTCTCCTGGGTAAATAGCTGCCAAGCCCATGACAGCACAAGAAAATGATGCAATGACATGTTCATTGAGTACCACTCAACAGAAGCAAAACCAAGAGCAGCAAGATTTATACAGCAGCTGTTTGCTTTGGAGCCAGATGCTGTCTGCATACAGGGTTGAACTTGGGACCAGAGTTCTGAAAAAAGCTTGTTAAGAAAAGCAAGAGCAGCTAAATGCTTTTGTCATCCACTGGTTTCCTCTCAATCTGCTGCAGCAGTGGAAGAGAGTCCATGTAAAGGGACAGAGTCAGGTGCTTTGCACCAGTGTCATCAGCTTTGTGGGTGCAAGGCACAAACAAGGTGGACCATGGACTTGGGCCAAATCCTTCAGGCTGGCTTACAGGCTTACATCAGTTAGACAATACTAGTTTTACTTTTGGAGAGTGCAGAATTGCTAAATATCTGCCAGGAGTTTCAGTGTAGGACTGTGTTCTTCTTGCCTTCCTTGTAAAACAACTGAAAGTACTGCCTGGTAGTTTTGGGACAAGAGATAGGGGAAGCTTTCCATGCTGCTAATCCATATGAGACCCTAAACTTTCTGGCCTTGCTCTGTAAACAATAGGACTGAAGAAATCCATCAGGATCATTCCCATATCTCCTCCATAAGTGATTTACCTTAAATCAAGTGTCTAGCTGACGTGTTTATCCTCTTTGGTTACCTTAAGGTTGTTAATAAGATCAGTTGTTGCTTACAGGGTGGCATATTCATTTTGGATTAGGTGTCCTGCATATCTTCTGTCCTTGTTGCAAGGCAGTTGCAAAAGCCATTCATTAGAGACAACCCTCTCCTCTAAAACTTGCCAGGATGCTTTGGCAGCAGGCAGGACAGTGGGCCAATAAACTGTCCAGGTCCCCTGTGTGGGCAGTTCTCCATTGAAGCAATCTGTCCCTGCATGAGATTACATGAGATTACAACTCTCACCCTTCCCCAGTCCCAGTTTGCACAAGACATGTGTTGCCAGGTACATCAGGGCTCAACTCAGACCCCTCAACAGTCCCCTGCATCTGGGGACATGCACCTTGTACAAGCTGTCCTTGCAGTCCCACTGCCAGTTTTGTTTGTGGTGACAGTTTCCAGGCACTGTGGCCAGTGAATGGGAAATGTTTCAGCCTTTTCACAATACAGACTTTAATTTTTTGTGCTGCACTTGACTTAAATAATTGAGGCTCATCTTGATAGTTTTTGGAAAACACAGTAGCTGAAGGTTTAATTTGTAAGTTTGCATTTTATAAATCATATGCAAGGTTCAAAAGTTCATCCTGAGGCACAAGAACATAACTAGAGATCAGGAGACCAGTGCAGGGAAGCAGTTCTGGATAAGAAGTGGGCTCTCCCTAGGACATGGGTGGAATGATTTCATCTGACTTTAGAGTCTGCAGTGTTGGTATTTATAATACTGCAGGGTAGACCATTGCAGCTCATGGGAAGAAATGCATGCATTTTGGTATAGTTCATCTCATCTTGTGATCTGGATGTTAAGATGTTGCCTTTTTAGTAATTTTTGTTGGGAATTTCTGTAAATGAGAATTTCAAGAAAAATTTGAGAGTGAGGAAGTTCACCAGATATTCCTTCAACACATGGAGACAAATTTGCCAAAACATCAAAGCATTCTGCTTGAGTAATTTGAGTGGCTAATATGGATATGTAGGCTTGAAATGGGAATATGCTGCTAAGGCTGGAAGTAAAAAAAAAGTTTGTCTGCAGTTTGATAGCTGTGCTACAAACAGCTGTAAGAAAAGTAAATGCTCTCAGTGGTTCATTTGCTTGTCCGCTGCACAAGTCTCCCTGGCCATTTGATATTCTCTCCCATCAGGATTGTTTTTTTAAATTTTTCACCTGGCAGGGGAGTCTGACATATCTCTGCATGTTTGTGTGGTGTTTAGATGAGCTTTTAATGTTGTGGTGGTACAAGGTCTATAGTAGCTGTTGTTCAGGCCTTCTCCTCTCCTGTCAGCATCCAGAGGGTGCTGAGGCCCTGGCACAGAGCAGCTGTGGCTGCCCCATCCCTGGAGATGTTCAAGGCCAGGTTAGATGGGGCTTGGAGCAACCTGGAATAGTGGAAGGTGTCCTTACCCATGGCAGGTTGGAACAAGGTGACCTTTCAGGCCCTTCCAACCCAACCCATTTTGTGATTTTCCCTGGGTGTTGGACTGCTGGTTTGTGCAGATTCTGCCTCTCTTGGCAGAGTGGTACTTTGCCAGTTACTGTGAGCCTGTTGGTTGCTAAAGAAGACACCAAGCAAAATCCACAGCAGGGAAATCAGATCATAGATACCCATTTTAGTTCAACTGTGGCAAATCATGGTACAAATTTCCTCTTAGATGAATGTCCAGTGCTCCCTAGCTCTGCCTTCACGTTGCTTATACAGTTTCATTAAAGCCTTCAGCCACGACTTGCTTGCAGCTGTAGAGCAGGGGCCTGCTGAGCCAGTTTAGGTAGGTTTTGACTAAAACAAGGCACCAATATACAGGCAGGAGCTTGATGCGACATGGCTTCATAAAGCCATGCCTGTCATCACCTCCTGCTAACATCCTTTCCACCGATTGACCATCTTTGTAACAAAATGTTCTTCCTGGTTTGCTTAGGGTGAAGAAACTGAAGGAAACATTTGCTTTTATACAACTATTGGACAAAAACATGAGTAACCTTCGCACCTGGTTGGCCCGGATTGAGTCTGAGCTTTCCAAGCCTGTTGTTTATGACATCTGTGATGACCAAGAAATCCAGAAGAGACTGGCAGAACAGCAGGTGGGAAATAGCAGCAGGCAGAGTAAATGAGCTAAAATGCTGCTGATTGGTCCTGGTATAAAATCACTTGTTTCTTTTCTTTAGCAAGCCCTTCTGACTGTTTGCTTTGCATGGCGTGTTCTTGCCAAGATGCGTTACATGGAAATATTTTATTTGCTTGCAGTGATTTCAGTATTGTGTTGAATTATCCCCACTTCTCCCTGCCCCACTTCACCCAAGGAAAACACACAAAATACAAACAAAAACAACTTTGCTCAGTTCAGTACAGCAGACTTCCTGAGGACTAGGCAGGGCACAGGCAGTGGGCAGAGTACATGAGGATGACTTAGACTGACAAGGCTGAATGCTGCTCTCTGCAAAGTGGCCGTAGCAGATCCAAGTGCTGGGATTTGATGCATTGCCCTCACTGGCTCCAGTTCTTGTCACTTCCTTGCAGACAGCAGAGCAAGCTTAGCAGAGCAGGATGCTTTAGCTTTGAAAGGTAGATATGTGCAGACACACCTTTGGCTGAGGTTTGATCCAGAGGCAGGCTGAAGATCCCTCAGGGCTAGGGGAGCTGGCACGTGAATCCTGCTGAGACAAGTGTGAACCAACCTTGCACTGGTGGGTGCTGCTGGTGGGCATTTATCCAAGGCAGTGGCTTACCAGGGGAATCTCAGGAGAGAAACTGGATAGTCCTGGAGTAAATTTCTCTAGCCAGCAGCCAAGCAAGGAAAAGGAACTTCTCCAAAGCACAGACTTGCTGGTGGAGTCATTCTCTGCTCAGGGCTGTGCTGTAAGTCTGACCAGGTTCTAAGTGCTTGGCTGTCATCTGGCCTTTGTGTTAAACAGCAATACTTGCCCAAAAACTAAAGATCAAGAGTAAGTCTGTCAAGTTTGGAAGCCTGGGAGCTTTATGGCATGTACCTTCAGGAACATTTATTGGTATCCTTCCCACCTTTTCCATCTTTTCTCTCTGGCTTCTGCTTTCATGTCTAAGGATCCCTGAGTGACCCAGACCTCTGTTCTCTGCTGGTTGGTGTGGCTGTCCTTTGTTCTCATGTCCCAGATGCCACAGGAAGGGCCAGCTCCTGTGCAGCAGGATTGGAGGTGGCTCCCACTGACTGCATTGCAGGAGCTGGTCAAACCCTAGAAGCTTTGGCCCAGCACCTCTCATGGTTTCATCTGCATTGTGAATGGTCATGTAAACAACAAAGAAATATTTTTCTTCTTATTCAAACCTTTTGCATTCTCAAAGGCTGTGATAAATTGCCAGGCAGAGCAGAGCATGGAGCACAAAGGAATTGTGTCCAAACTAATTTATTTTTATTATAAGCATTCAAGCTTCAGCTGGCTCTAAGAGCCGTCATTTCCTGCTCAGAGCTACTTACTGCTTCAGTTTTTTGGATGCTGTTTTAAATACAGACCTCTAGACTCCTACAAGTAGCTGTTTAGCAGGCTGAGTACAAGAAGACTGTGCTGACTAAAAAGACCTCAGTAAAAAAAAAAGTTGCTTTTGTTCTGCATTAGTGAAACATTTGTGTGAATGCAACAAGTAGAAAGATCTTTCCTGGTTTTATGTGAACAATTATTTCAGCAAGAGCAGATCAATGGTGAGAAATATGCCCTACAGGCTTCTTTTATTTGACATCCATGACTGGATGTCAAATAAATGTCAATACCTGTGCAGTCTTGAATAATGAAATTTAAAAGCCTTGTGTATCCACTGAGGTGTTTTATGGCATGTTTGTTCAATTAAACTATGACAATTACAACATGAATAATATTAATTTTAAGATTGCAAAGGTGTTTCACTAATGCAAAAATCTAGCAGTGTGTAGTCTGTTGAAGCTCTCTGGGCAATGCTATGCAGAGTTGAAGGAATGCTACCTTTTGGGGCTCCATATTTCCTCACTCTCTCCCTTAGTTTGTTGTATTTGTCTCACTTAATGCAATCAGGTCATTTGGAAAACAGCAAGGATTCTGTCTAGGCTATTCCATGAACCCAGGCATGGCCTGAAGTAATGTGATCATGTCAGCAGCATTACCATAGTGCAAGTTAGAATTAATTTGTCATCTGTGGTTAGGATTCTTGTTTTCACTAATACACCTGTAAATCCAGTGGAATTTAATGAATTCAGAAGAGACTCTCCAGGTACCAGTAGTGAGGCAGAGCCTGCTCCCAGCTGTGGGGCCTGTGTTGAAAAGACACTGATGCATCTTACTCAGTAAATAGCTGTGAGTCCTTAGTAACTTGTAAAAAATTCTGTTGGGTCTTCTTCTGACAGTCTCACCCATGTAAAGAATTTCACTTCTACATTCCTTAAAGCTGTTCATTACTACAAATCCCACAAGCCATATTTTAACCATTTATGGCTCAGCCCTTGGTTCAGATATGCTTGTAACCACTGAGAACTGCCACTGAGTGGTTCTCAACTCCTTGCAGCCTGTTGACTTCTATGAAAAAAATCTTCCTTCAACTCATTTTGTATTTACTACAAGTTATGTCTGTTTTGGGGGGGTTTATTTGTTTTATGTTGTTTGTTTTTGTTTTTTTAAGTCTAGAGCAAAACCAATTCTGCTTCATCTGTTGACTGAAATCAGTAAATACCATTTAATGAGAACTCCACTTTTGTCAGGAAAATACTCATTTGTGTTTGTTGCTCTAGTGTTATTCAAGCAAAAGTCTCTGTACCCTTCATTAGAAAAGCCAGAAATGGGTTGAAAAAATTGAATTGTAATGGCTATTGTCATTTTATTAATATTTAAAGTTGGTAGCATAGTACAGATCTACCTTTTCAACAAGAAATATTTAGATGTGGCTTTTTTTCTGTCTTTCAATTACCCTGGCGTTAGGAGTAGTGATGGTACAGGATGAAAGGCCAGACTATCATGGAGGTGCAAGCTCTGAAAAAAACCCTGTAGTGTAGATTAGATAAGAGGTATTTGCCAGACCCTTTACAACAGTCTGTTAGAACAGGAGCCCTACAAGAGGGAATAAAAGTAGTGTACCACCAGGTTCTTCTGTACTGTGTTTGTGTTGTGTACTGCAGCCTGTGATCAGTCACTAAAATGCATGTACTGCACTAGGAGTTCTCAGATGAGCCTTTCAGTGCAGTAACCTGATATGAGACAGCCATCTTGTGCTGTCAAAATTAATAAGAATTTATTTATGGTATAGGTAAGGTTTGTGTTTTGAATGCCCATTAAATGGTCCAGACTGTTGATGAGAAGATTGAGTTTAGACTGAGACACTAAAGGTGGACAACCCTTTTTTTTTTGCATGGCTGTTTTCTCCTGACCTGTGTCATCTGCACAGCTCATCCTGCAAGTCTTCATTAAAGCTAAATCAGCTTTTCCTGACATGGGAGTTGCTTTTTCCCCATCCTCTGCAGCATTTTGAAAGGGCATGGCTGAGATGTAGCCACACACATTTCCTCCCACTGACGCTATTCTTCTGCCGATGGCAGGACCTGCAGAGAGACATAGAGCAGCACACGGCGGGCGTGGAGTCCGTGTTTAACATCTGTGAAGTCCTGCTACACGACTCAGATGCGTGTGCCAATGAGACAGAGTGTGACTCCATCCAACAAACCACCAGGAGCTTGGACAGACGGTGGAGAAACATCTGTGCCATGTCCATGGAAAGGCGAATGAAGTACGTCTCCTATTCTCCTCCTCCTACAGAAGCCTGTGGCAGCATTTTGAGGAAATGCTGTAGCTTTTGCCACAAGCTGAATTTTGAGGAGTAAAAAAGAATTCAAAGTTGATAGTTAGCTTGTGTTAAAACCTTTCTGTTTTTGCTCTCTCAGAATTGAGGAAACCTGGCGTCTGTGGCAGAGATTTTTGGATGATTATTCTCGCTTTGAAGATTGGCTAAAAGCATCTGAAAATATAGCAGCTAGGCCTAATTCTTCAGAGGTCTTGTACACACATGCAAAAGAGGAACTGAAGAAATTTGAGGTGAATTTTTTAACTGTTTTTTTTATGCTCAGCATCAAGCTGCTGAATACATATTGTCTGTGCAAAATGCCTGAGTCCCTGGAAAACATTAGTTTGGCATTGGTAGTATTGAGAACATAAATAATTTGGTGAGTGTCCAGCTGTCTCCAGAATGTCTGTCTCCAGAATTTTTTTTTAATGTGGAGAATACAATGCTCTGAACAGACACTTATAAGTTTAAAGCCTTTCTTTTTATAGGCAAGAGACTTTTGTAGTTTGGTGTTTATTCTTTTCTTTCTTTTCGTAGTAAGCTAAGTTTGAGCAGATGGTTTAACATACGAGTCTTAAAATCTGGATTTAGTTTTGCAGTGGGAAGGTCTGTTTTTAAAGGGGAAGGCATCATCTCTCTCAATGGATAATATCCACATCCTGACAGTTAGCAGGGAATGAGCTCCTCGCTTTGCCTTGCAGGCGTTCCAGCGGCAGATCCACGAGCGCCTCACGCAGCTGGAGCTGATCAATAAGCAGTACCGGCGCCTGGCCCGCGAGAACCGCACCGACTCGGCCAGCAAGCTCAAACAGATGGTGCACGAGGGGAACCAGCGCTGGGATAACCTCCAGAAACGAGTCGCTTCCATTCTCAGGAGACTCAAGGTAGTGGCACAGTGGGGTGAGGGAGTGAGGCGCACTTGCAGGGTTCTGCAGGAATTAGCCATGAGCAAAGCCTACATCAGAGCAACTCTCTCTGTCCTCAACTACCTCAGCTACAGCAGAGGAGCTCTGGGAGGGTCACTGAGTACATGGAATAAACCTAAACCTAGATTGGTAGCTGAAGAAAAGCTTAAAGGAAGAAGGAGTGCAAATTTTGAGATGTCAGTTGCCGTACTCACTGCTCCTATCACACTTTCCTTTTACCCACTTGTACTGGGTGGATGTGTTCAGGCACTTGCACCTTTCCATAGATAAGAGGCAGAGAGACAAAAGGGCCCCAAGTGCAGATATGGTTTGGAGTTTCCAACTCAGCTTTACTTCATGCCAAGTTGTGATTCACCAAGGCATTAAAGATGGAGATGTGATAGAAAGCAGCTCCTGCTGTGCTGCCTGCCTGATCAGGAATGTTGTTGAAGAGTGTATTTGTGACACTTCAAAGAAATATCCTGGTCATCAATTAAGCTCATCTCTGGGCACATCTCTGTGCTGTGCCCTGAGGGAAACTTGTCACTGCCAGATTTTTAAATACAGCAGTGCTGCAAGCAACTGACAGGGAAAACTGTTAGCTTCCAGAAGTCAGTATATGAGGCAGTGAGAGCAGTGATGGGGTTTTATCTGTGCAGCTATGAATTGTTATAATTGGGATGTTGCATGATACCCTTCCTGAAAATTAAATCCACCCATGAGAACAGGCAAGTTGTATGTCTGTTAGCAGCTTTTGTGGGACATGCCATGCCAAACAGAGCATTAATTACACTGGCATGGTCATCCATGATCCAGCCTCTCCATTGTAAAATCAGTAAAAGCTGATTTTAATCTTAGAGTTTTAATTACTTTAATTAGAGATGTGGGTTGCTTCCTTTTGTTTATCTCTGTTTTAAGTTTAGAACAAATTAGTTGTTTAGAACAAGTTAGTCCAAATAACTGTTGCTAGTATGATGATGTGGGAGAAGGAATGTGTGGAATCAAGAATGAAATTTTATAGAAGCATCTTGAACTGCTAAAATTTTACTCCCTCTTTCGTACAAATAATGTACTAGTATAGGGGACTGTTCTAGCATCCCTACAGGAAGAGGACAGGTGTTGTACATGGCATGCTGCTGTTTGTGTCCTGATGGCCTGCCTTTAAGGTGAACAGGAATTTTGAAATAAAACACTGATTTCAGAGAGCTCCTTTGACCTGTCTCTTTTAGTAGCTGAAGTCATGTAACACTGGCTCCTTTTTTCCATCCAGCACTTCACCAACCGGAGAGATGAGTTTGAGGGGACGAGGGAAAGCATCCTTGTCTGGCTCACAGAAATGGACCTACAGCTGACAAATGTGGAGCACTTCTCAAAAAGTAACTTCGATGACAAAATGCGCCAATTAAATGTACGTATCCTTATGAAGCAGTTGTTTACTGTAGCCCAGTTATCCTGTTGGGCTGCCCTTGCCAGACAGAATCATCTATTTTCTGTAACTTCACAATAGCCATCAGATATCTCTAGGACTATATTTGTTTGAAGACAGTAGTAAATTAAGACATATTGTCTGAATCAAGATTCAGCTGTGCAATATTTAATTCAGATTGAGTGTTCAGGTTCAGTTGTGTCCTACCATCTTCTCCTGACAGTATGTCAGTGACAGTGGTATCTAGCCTGGAAAGCAGCAGATGCTGCTTAACAGTAAGAGCTACATTCCTAAATTCAGGCATTATTTTCTGGTGCAAATCTTTTTTGAATTGGCTTTGTAGTACAATCTTGCCTCTGATCTCATTGTTTGCAGCTGGGAATGTATACAGAAATCAGACATCAGGAATGTAGTGATTCTGAGGAATATACTAGTTCTTTGCCACATCATATGCTCATTTCTCCTTTCTCCCTGCACTGTTACTGTTCTGGGATGTAGATTTACTGTTGTATAGGCTGGAGGCCCAAGCAACCAAATAAACTTCTTGGCTACTGAGAAAAAAATTGTGTGTACCCAACAGAAAAATGAACTCTGATTAGTTTAGTCTGAACTCCCATATTGTGATCCCCTTCAGGCTCAGGACACTGCAACCATATTGATGTACACATGGGTGGAAAATGCCACTTCATTTGGAACTGTAATTCTGCTGATAAAACAAACCTTTGGACCTCTTAAGTAAAAAGATATGTGCCAAATTAAATTAGACAACAATGTCAATTGCAGCTTCTCTTTCACTGCAGTGAGCTAGAAAACAGGGACAAACCTTAGGCTAGAAAGGGCCAATGGAGAAGTAATTATTTTTCTTGTATGTTCTGAATAGGGTTTCCAACAGGAAATAACGTTAAACACCAATAAGATTGATCAGCTAATCGTTTTTGGGGAGCAGCTGATTCAGAAGAGCGAGCCTTTGGATGCCATCCTGATTGAAGATGAATTGGAAGAACTTCATCGATACTGTCAGGAGGTGTTTGGGCGAGTTGCTCGGTTCCATCAAAGACTGACTTCAAGGGATCCTGTAAGAGGCAACAGTTGTTTCAATGCTTTGACAAGATTTTGGTGTTTGAATTGCAATGCTTATTTTGGTTTTTGAATTGGAATTGCTTATTCTTAGCAGTCTGAGTGGTTTGAGCTCCAAAGGTTCAGGAGCTCTGCAGTAAATGTGCCAGCCTTGCTAAATCTTTGTTGCCAGTCCTTTCATGCCTCTCTTCTCTGCAGAATCTGAATAATAGCAGGGAGGTTGTTCATAAGGTTCAGAATTACATAGTTGTGTCTTGAAGGCTTCAAAACCTTTTTTGGTGATTTTGGTATCACTTTGTTTTCTTTACCATCAATAATGTACTTAGAATATCTTTTTATGTATTTGTTTGTCCCCTCATCTCTCCTCTTTGTTGTGAGAACCCTGAATGGGGAACAGCATGCACTTTGCTTTACTCTGGGAACTTTCAGATGATTCTCAGTTTGCTTGGCCTCAAAAAGAAAGAACATCTGTTAGAAAGCCGGGTAAAGGAAGTAACATGAACAAGCATCATTTCCTTACTGACCTGTTAAGTTCATTTGGAACTGGATACTCCCCCTGCAAACTGGAGAGATGCTGTGGTGGTGGTTGAGTGCCTTGGAAGAGGAGAGGTAGCTGCTGATGTGAGGATTGGTTTTGGAAAAAGAGGAAGAAAGCAGAAATTATGCCTTCCTTTAATTTTAGGCACGTGGTCTTTGGTTGCTGCAGCTGACCACAAAACTGTCTTCTGTAGTACTGTGTGGCTTAATCATTCGCTCTTTAAGATCTCTTGTAAATCTTACTAATATGCAATAATTGCTTATTTGTAGGGATTGGATGATGAAAAAGATAACTCTGAAAATGAGACAGATCAAGAAGACTCCAGAGAAATCCAGAATGATCCCTGGCATAAGAAAGCCATCACTGAGGGGCCCTCATCGACACAGTCCCTTTGCCACCTTATGCCCCCGACTCAGGGCCATGAGAGATCAGGCTGTGAGACCCCTGTCAGCGTTGACTCCATCCCACTTGAGTGGGATCACACAGGTGATGTGGGAGGTTCTTCCTCTCATGAAGATGATGAAGAAGCAACATACTACAGTGCTCTGTCAGGTGAGAACCAATGTCCAGCAGTTTGGTGTGACATGGACAGCTGGAGGATGTCCTTGTGTGGGAAGGGAGGGGGATTGAAGTCTTGCTCCCATATTGTTGGTTGGTTTTCAAGTACCCTTAATAGATGTGAGCTGACTCATCTCTTAGATGAAGGAAATGGTAGTGTCTAAACCAAGCTTTTATTTTTAGAACCATAAGGTTTTAGAAGCCTTACTGTTTAAGAATGTTTGAAAATGGTACCAACCACTTACTTTGTTCTTTGTCTTTGCTGTCCCTCATTGTTTCAGTTGTTTTTAGTAGTTGGAAGATACCGAATAGTGAGGAAAATGACATTATTCTTTTTTCAGATGTAGAAATCACTGAAAACCCTGAGGCATATCTTAAAATGACCACAAAAACTTTGAAAGCATCTTCTGGTAGGCACCTGCTAGTGCATGTGTCTGAACATGGCAATCTCCCTGTGCTGCACGCTATATTCCTCAACCTCTCTCATACGTAATGTCTGACTTCCTGCCTTGTGTGGACACCATGTCTCATCCTGTCATGGTGTTCTTACGCTGCAGTATCCACATGGACATTAAAAGCAGTCAAGAACACACCATTTAGATTTTGCCTGGTAAATGCCAAGGTGGTTAACGTGCATTTCATTGTACTGATCCAAAGTCTTTTGGTTCTTTCTCGGTGGTTTGCTCTGGGTAGTATCAATTTTTGGTTGTCTCTAATTTTGGTTGTGTAACTACTGGAGGCAGTAGCTCCAACTCTGCGAGTATTTTTTTGTGGTTTGTGCATGACAGAACTCTGTGTGTCCTGTCTGTTAAATCCAGAACAAACATTTTCCAAACCAGGACATGTCTAACTTGTTCCCTCTGACATGTTGCAGATGTGTGATAGTTATTGGATGCAAACTTTACAGAACTATGGTGCAGCCTTGTCTTTTGGGGTTTTTTTGAATACTCTAACCTGTATTCAAGCATTTTCCAGAAGAAAACAGAATGTCCCATAACTGCATGGCTCTCATCTCATTACCTTTGAAACACTGTTGATGTTTTGCAAATGTGCATGCTTTGCAAGGAAAGCTGCAAAACTGTCATTTTTATGCCATAACTTGATGCCATTTTATTCAAAGCGCTTTCTAACTTAATACAAAGCAGCAGCTTCCTTGTGCAGGTGGGATCTTGCACTCATGGTGTGTGGTTTTGGTTTTGTTTGTTTCAGGAAAGTCTGTTTCAGAAGCTCATCCTTGGCATTCTCCAGGTAGCCCAGTCTGCAGGAAACACAGATATAACCAGGCAGAGATGGTTGGAAATGTGTTATCTGGACCAGAGACGAGTACTCCCTATAAACCAGACTATGTGAGTTGGAAGCTCTGGGGGCACTGAACCTGAACTGTACACAGTCTGTTTGTTGTTCTGTTTAACTCCACCCTCTTCCCTTCTCCAGCATCAAGGAAAAGAATAGTTGAAGTGGGGAATTTTCACTTCATTCAAATTTAGACTTTGTTTCTGGTGGCTCAGATTGGACTCCTGGTCAGTCAGGTTCTGGAGGAACTTTGTTCCTCTATTGTCATAGGACAAGTCTAGGAGAACTTAACCCCCACAAAGGACAGGGTGTGAATTGCTTGGTACTTACTGACATATTTCCTAAGCAAATTTGAAGGGTCTTAATATGCAACACACCATTTAATCTTCTTCTAGGCACTGAAAAATGTGGCAAAATGGCTTAATGTCCATTGGTACCTCAGCCTTGGTGGCTGTTTGCCAGCCATAGCTTCAGCAGCAGCTGCCAGGCTCAGTGGATCTGGACCCATTGTCAGCATTCCTCCAGACAGGGTGTTACTGGTATCTGTCTGCTTTTGTCATCATTAATCCAGTCTCAGAGCCTTAGAGTCAATATAGCCAAGACCCACAATCCAACAAAGAGCATCAGCAATTGTACATTGTCTGGTACATGTAGTGCAAAGGCAAGTAATTTTCCATGTTACTCTTGTACTAATTGGCATCACCATGGTGTGTGTTTGTTTACTGCAAAGGCACAGAGAGCCAGTGTAAACTGTTAGCAAAGCTCCAGAAGCCGAGTGCTAAATCTGATGTGCAGGAGCCCAGCCACCCCAGAGTAATACAGATTAGGTTGGACCTTTGACATCCTGTTAACCTGCAGGGCTCACCCACCAAAATGTCATTCCAGGTGAAGCAGCTCAGCTCTGCAAGCAGCAGCAGCAGCAAGGAGAAAATTCCGTCTGCCAACATGAGTGATGAGGAACCCCAAGATGAGCAAGAACTTGTGAATATAGCAGCAGCAGAAAAGCAGTCAGGTACACAGCATTAGGAGTGGCTTTGGGACTGTGGTGTTTGTCCTGTGACTCTGGAGGGACAAAGCAGAGATGGCACAAAGGCAGCATATTTGGGAACAGCAACAAAAAATTAATGTCTTTTGCCAAATTTCCAAGTTTCACTGAGCTCCCTTCTCATCTGGTTCTGTCCACCCCATGTGTGCTGTTCAAAGCTTTCACATTCTCTTCCAGAACTGAGATTTGTTTTTCATAACATACTTCTGCATACTCACTACAAGCTGCTTGTAGTAAATGGGACCAGTTTCACTTTTGTCTGATACTGAACGCTTTAGAGACTTCTAATCAGATTTCAAGCCAAAGAGTCTGTCTAAAATAAGATTGCTATGTTATGTTATGTTATATGGAGTTACTGGTACTCCACATAACAAGGTGCTAAAGCTCCCATTTGCAGAAATGTTTTTTCAAAGTTGTTAATGCATTCTGTTCTTCAGTATCTTTACAGTGGTCCTTTCATGCAAGCAGACCAGTTAGCTGGTTCTCTTGACTTTTTAGGACCTCATTCCTCGTTTCAGGTGCTTGAGATTGAAACAACACATTGTACTGCAGTCATGAAAGCAAATTATGTGATAAAAAGAAGGCTGCAGCTACATTCACCTTTGTTTCTCTGGTCTCACAAATGGTCCGCAGTTGTGTCCCATACGTGGGGTGAATAGGAATTGCCTGAGATTGGTTTAGATGTCTTCCAGAAAATGTCAGTGATCACACAGCTGGCATCTCCATGTCCTCTAGCACTGAATTGATGAAACATAGAGTCATTAGAATTATTTGGCTTGATAGAGACTCTAAAGTTATCTAGATCCAAACCCCTGCCATGGGCAGGGGATTGGATCTTCCACCAGACCAGCTTGCTCAGAGCCCCATCCAGCCTGGCTTTGAACACTTCCAGAGATGGGGCAGCCACAGCTTCTCTGGGCAACCTGTGCCAGGGCCTCACCACCCTCACTGTCAGGAATTTCTTCCTAATATCTAATCTATACCTTCCCTCCATCAGTTGAAAGCCATTATCCCTTGTTCTTTCACTCCACTGACATTCCTTGTCAAAAGTCCCTCTCCAGCTCTCTTGGAGCCCCTATAGGCACTGGAAGGGGCTCTAAGGTCTCCCTGGAGCCTTCTCTTCTTCAGGCTGAGCAGCCCCAACTCTCAGCTTGTCTTTACAGGAGATGCTCCAGCCCTTTCATCTTTGTGGCTTCCTCTGGACTCTGTCCAGCAGCTCCACATGGACATAAAACACAAACCCAAGTCCTAACTGCTGGATCATATTTGTTCTGTGCTGAATTTTGGTGTTCACCAAATCACAGATGCACTTACTGAATTCTGTCTCCTTCAGTTTGGTTTGTTCTTCCAAGTGAATTATAACATCTCCAATTAATGTCATTAAAATTCTGTGTAATATTGCTATGTGAATAACTTGACCAGCAATATTAAATTTAGGCACTGCAGAATCTTAAGAAAAGAAGTGACTGAATGACAGGAATACATTACAGCAAATGTTTGGTCTCAAGTAGAATGGAGAATAATTTTATTACAAAACTTGTATCCGTTTTACACACTTCTTCCTTTACTGAAGATTTAAGTGGGTTTTTTTTCTTCTGATTTGCAGGCATTATTGATAGGTGGGAGCTCATCCAAGCTCAAGACCTCAGAAATAAACTTAGGATGAAACAGAAATTGCAGCAGTGGCAGCAGCTGGACTCAGATCTCAGTGACATCTCTGCTTGGCTTGATAAAACTGAGCAAGAGCTGGAAGAGCTGCAAAAGGTGAAGCATCCAACCAGTATGCAGGCATTGGAACAAAAGGTCAAGACACTGAAAGTAAGTTATGGCCTACTGAGAAGAGGGATTTCAAGATGCTGATGTTTTTTAATCACCGTAGTCTCCTGGGATCAGTTGGCAGCGTGGATGCCAATAGCAATGTTCTTGTGCCACAGGGGAGCTGAACTGTTCTCAGCTAAGAGGACTAAAGAGGTTCTTAGGCAAGGTGCTTCTGTCTTCATATACAGAGATTGGCAGGCAGATGTAAAAACCTCCCCACTTCTCCCTTTCTCTTTTCTTGCACAGTGATATCAACATCTTTTCCTTGTGCCATTCCCCTCTGTGCAAACCAGAAAGAGATTGAAAATAAGCCAGGTGAACAGGCTGCAAAGTCTAGGCTGCTTTTTTTTAAAAATTGAATTAAGGGCAGGGTGTCATTCCAGCTGGAGACTGACAAAGATCTGCTCTAAAGCTTTGGTTTTTGCAAGCTGAGCCAGCAGGCTACCAGGGCTCATGTAAGTGCTGGGGCCCTGGGACTCAGGCAATGAAATGCCTCAGGTTGAAGTCTGAGAGAGCAAGTGTTCCTAAAATCTGGAAGTGCAAAATCCCTGTGTGCTCACCCCTCACCAGCTGCCCCATGTGGAGTTACCCTGAGTCTGCTGCTCAGTCTGATGTCACCTTTTGGGTGATGCTCACAAATAGGACACTGCAGGACAGAGGAGGTATTTCATAGGCATGCTGAGAGTATGTTTAAGCCTACATATCCTGGAGTAGTTACTAGGCCAGGGACAATGACTGCACTCCTTCAGCCAGTCTGAATCCAGGCACCAAGCCCTAGGAAAGGTTTGATGGTGTCTTCTGAGTGGAGGGGTATTTCCCTTCAGCCTGGAGTTGGGTATCTAACCTCCTCAAGAAGCAGAGCTTTGCTTATTCTCTCTTCTGCATCTGCTTAAGAGGAGTCCAGCCGGCTGTAAATCCCGTTTTCAGACAGTTTGGTTTTAGAGGGGTGTTAAAAGAGTCAGTGTGCTCTAAGAAGTGAATTTCATGAGGTGTCAGGACATCCCAGCTGCCTGGGATAAGGATGAAGCCAGTCTGCCTACAGACTGGTGTTCACAAGTCTGTTTTCTTTGCCTGATATTGCCTGGAGGAGAGTGGGGCAGGATCCTTTGATGGGTGAAAACTAATTTAGACCAGCAGTTTTCTACAAGTGGAACTCAGATCTTGAGAATGTAAAGATTGACACTCCTGGATAGAAAGGCTGCTGAGAAAAGCAACCTGAGCTTTGTGGCTTTTGGGATTCATCCTGCAGTTCTTACTTCCCTGCTGCAAGAGCAGCTTGGAAAAGATGGAGTACCCTTGATTATAACTGTAAGCTGGATGGTAGAAGGAAGGCATTGTTTAGCATTCTTTTTTTTTTAAACCTTCAGAAATACAGGCTCAGCCTTAACATAAAGGTGGTTAGATGATATGACCATGACTGCAAATTCCTTATTATTCCCCCTGCAATTCTAAGGGAGAGGAGGAAAGCAGGCAGGACTGCCTTCTGGGGGTAGACTTCTTGGGAAGTCAGAGAAATGTGCTGACAGAAACTCAGACCAGAGAGAAGAAAAATAATTTCTCACAATGGGGTGGTCTGGTGTGGGACCAGGGGCCCAGAGGAGGTGGGGAATATCCATCCTGTGAGATACTGAAAATTTCAATGCATGAGGCCCTGAGCATCCTGAGTTTGAAGTTGGTCCTGTGTGAAACAGGAGAATGGAGTCCAGAACCTCCAGATGTCCCTGTCAGCATTATTTTAGGATTCTGAGGTGGCAAAACCTTTATCTATTAGGAGAGAATACTGTGTGATGATCTATGGGAGTATTTGTCCAGCTGTCAGGGAAAGAGGCAGCTCAGAGGGATTGAAAGGCAGATATAGATTAAGCCATAATGCCTGTGACTTAGGGAGAAGAACAAGCCCAGTCACACTTTTTTTCTTCAAAGTGAAGGTTTTGGCTTAAAAAAAACGTAAACATAAACCTACCTCAGCATGTTTCTTAGCAGTATTGAAAAGCTACCAGATTCAAACATCCTTCCCCAATACCTGTGATACTTTTGAATGTGTGGTTTTATTGTAAATATGTATGTTTTTCATCATTCATAAAAGCTCCTAATCCTCTTTTTCTACCAGGACATGCTTAAAGCATTTGACAACTACAAAGCAGTGTTGCTTTCTGCTAACCTGAGCAGCAAAGAATTCCAGAAAGCAGACAGCACAGAGTTCAAGGAGCTGCAGAACAGGCTTCGGAAAGTCAACTTGCACTGGGAGAAAGCAACTCGTGCCCTGGACACCTGGAGGAAGGGCTTACAGCAAGCCTTGCTGCACTGCCAGGTGCATACACAAGTCTGCTTGTAAGGGAAAACCCCTGGGATTCTGTTGAGAGGGCTGAGGGGTAATTCCTGCATATCGGTGGAAGTGTCGCTCACAGTCCAGGACACTTTGTTTCCTGATAAAGTTGTCTCTGATGGATTGAAACAGTTTGGTAAAAATACCTTTCAAGTGGATAATGCCCTTTTACTACATAGGTGGAATAATTTTACAAGGTTTCTGTACTCTCACTAATTGTGAATTTGTGGTGACTCTGACTAATCTGAGCTGGGCATTTTGTTTGTAGGTGAAGGCACTGCAAAGGTGTTTTCCCTCATATGCCAATCTTTTTGTTTCTCTAGGATTTCCATGACCAGAGCCAAAAGCTAATCCTGTGGTTAGCAAGTGCTGAAAGCCGGAGGAATGAAGCACAAATCACAGATCCCAATGCTGATCTCAATACAATACTGGAATGCCAGAAGGAGCTAATGGTAAGTGTAGTCTTAACTGCAGCACCTCAGCTCTCAGCACACAGTGAAGAGCAGGATGTTGATGTGTCACAGTGTCTGCAGCCTGTCCTCAGACCTGCTGTACTCAGGCATGTGGGTGGTTTTTGAAATGGACCAAGACATTGCCTTTACAAGGCACTTTTCTATAATTACAAATCATAATAAAGTTGCTTATGAGCAGTCTTCATGCTGCTATCCAATTTCCAAAATTTAATGTGAATTACCTGCTGGTAGAACTATTTTTAAATGTTACAACCAGTCTCTTCAAGATAACTTCATTTCCTGTAGCTGTAATAACAATTCCTGTGCCTTGTGGATTCTAAAGCAGGCTGTGGTGTTCTTTAAAGCCTTCCAGAGTTCTTCCTTTTGGGAAAACACCCATAAAGTGGAGGGTAACAGTCTGTTGTGCTGCTTTTTGTTTGTTTATTCTCAGCAACTGGAGAAAGAGCTGCTGGAGCAACAGCTTAATGTAAACTCCCTTCAAGAGCTCACTGCTTACCTGCTGCTGAAATCAGATGGTGATTACATTGAAGAGGAAGAGAAGGTCCATGTAATTGGAACAAAACTGAAACAGCTGATTGAACAAGTCTCTCATGACTTAAAAACAATACAAGGGAATCTGGTGAGTTAGAATTTAAAAACTCCTTCATAGATCTTCCTTACTGAAAAGAAATAGCATATTTAGAGTGAAGGTATTTATAAAAAAAAACTGACATAAAGCTTAAGTCCTTCCATCTTCATAAGCTGAAAAAAGAAGAGTTCTGGCTGTAGGAAAAACTTCAGCACTCCAAGGCTAGTACAGTATTATAACAGAGGGGTTGTGCTGCCTCTGTCCTCGCGTGGTTTGAAGAGCCGAGAGGATAAAGTTCTGAGTAAGGCTTTTGATCAGGTCTTTGGTGAGGAGGTTGGACTAGATGAACTTCCTGAAGTCCCTTCCAACCTGAATTTGTGTGATCCAAGCCAGGTATCAGGCTAGGAGTGTGTAATGAACATGTAGGAGTTGAAGTTCATAGCAATGGGTTGCTGAGGCCTATCAGAGATGTTTTCAGGTTAATACCTCTCTACACCCATTCCATTATAATTTCTTCAGGCTGGGTACTGTAAAACATTGCTTTATTCTGGGGAACTGGGTATGCTTATGTGGAGGGGCAGTGGGCTGTGCTCCTAGAGAGGCAATGAAAAGTGGTTCTTTGCACTTCACTTATTGTCAGTTTTGAATGTGCATCTTAAAGAGGAAGGTGGTGTTGTCTTTTAGGATACCAAAACATTCCTGCTAGTTCCAGATGACTTGGACTCAGGAGTCTATAATCCAGAAGAAGAGAAATCCAGCCCTGCTGTGAGGAAGGTAAGTTGTTGGGTTTTTTTCCCTAATATTTTACTACTAGGATATAGTGTATTTTGACATAATTAGTGTGGAACTTCCTCAAGTATAATCATTTTACCTTTTGTCCATGTACCTTATTACAGCATTTACAATTGGACCTTAAAGTCTACAGCTGTCTTTTCAGATAAATTCCTTGTAGTTTCTGAAATCTGGATACTAAAAGCTGTTTCTCCCAACAGGTGGCTCTCAGGAGAACTGCTGATGGCAGGAATGGCAGCAACACAAGGTAATATTTTATTTATGCCTGATCTCTTGAAAAACAGTGAATATGGCAGAGATGAGCTATGTGCCAGCAGAAACCTGGGCACCTCTGCCTTGTAGGCTGACATATGGGTGGAGGTGATTTCTGCCTACCTGTAGAGTCCTTTCTACCTGCCAGCTCTGGGCTGCCCCATAGGGAATGGTTTCCTTTAGCACTCCTGCTTCAGGACCTCTGCAGTGATGTGCAACCCTGGCTTGAGAAAATATTTTATGTGCCAAATGTGGAATATTTTAGGTTTAAATCTTCCTTTAATTCCACCAGCATGCCTGGGGAATAAAAACTTGCCCTTGAGAGCCGCTTGGTACAAACAGACCACAAAGGACAAAGAGAGAACTTTACCTCCAGTCCATTGGGGCCTGTTCAAAGGGGAGATCTCAGTAATGCCAGGGCAAAAACCTCCTCAGTGTGAATGATGTCTTTCCTTTGTGCTTCAACACCTATTTGGAATGGTCTGTTTGCCTCCTGAAATATTAAGTTTGCATCTGAAAATAGGGTAAAAACAACTTGTTTAACTCAAACCCTGAAGTGCCTGTTCTTCTTTTCAGGAGTGAAAGCCATCCACAGCCTGTGCAGGCAAACCCTCGGTCTCCCTCTTTCTTCTACCGAGTCTTACGAGCAGCTTTACCTCTCCAGTTGTTCTTCCTGCTGCTTTTGCTCCTGGCTTGCATGATCCCCTCCTCTGAGGAAGATTACAGCTGCACCCAGGCCAACAACTTCGCCCGCTCCTTCTACCCCATGCTGCGCTACACCAACGGGCCCCCCCCGACCTAGGACACCCTGCAGTCACACCAAAACGCTCTTGGGTGGTGCTTTTTTCTCCCATGCTGCTCCAGCATCAATCAAGCAGCGAGATTCACATCTCAAAATGTATATCTTGACAAAATTTCAGCATTTTTGTACGGAAAACAAAACTTTTTCTATAGATTTTTTTTAAACTGTAAGCAACACACTTTATACTTTGATGCAATAGATACACTATTTTATAGGGGCAGTGCTCTTAAGCTAGCAAGGTGTTTGGATACTGAGTTCTTAGATGCAGAAACGACATCACAGTAATCTTAAACATAGCAGTCTGTCTTGGGTTAGCACAACAAGCAGGTGAAGAGGGACTTCATTTAACACAATTTCTGCACACACTTCACATTACTTGTATCTTTTGGTACTGTAGTCACTTGGTGGAAACAAAAATTGCATATTTTTGAATCTTTGTTATTGTATTTTATTCATCTATCATGTTCAATATCATGATGCACATTTGTTTTGTTTGACATAAAGTGTTCTAGTGGTTAGGACTGCTGTGTTGTCTTTTTATACCACCTTTGAAATAAGGAATTGCTGCATTGCATGGAAATGGTTTATAATGCACATATTTTCTAGATGAACATGATTATGTAGACTATCCCTGATGTATACAAATAGTGCACTGACTTTTTTAATGAAAGTTTCTTTTTTTTTCAGTTTTTAACCTGCTGAATAGTGTACAGTACCCTGGGAGAGAATTGTGCATTTTTATAAGCTTTGTTTTTAAAATGAAACTGGTGTGTGGGCAGTGGCTGGAGAAACACTGTGTACAGTCAGCATTGCCACTGCCCCTCGGTTGTACAGTTTGAGTACTGTCATTAAAATTTTGCCAATGTCTGCAGGACTGTGGGTGTGTCTAGTGGGGGGGACCAGCTTTGTGTTCCAGCAGTGCTGCCCCTTCCACTCCTGGAAGAGTCAATTTCTTTGCCTGCTAAGGGAGTGGTGCTGGAGGAAGCACAACCACTCACTCCCTTGCTTGTCAGAGTGAGAGATCACAAATCCAGCAGTGGGACCTGTGCTCTGTGGCAACAGATCCTTTCCTTTGCAACTGATTTCCTGGAGGAAGAATACAAAGTTGAACCAGTTTGTGCTTATTATTTGTTTGAAAGCGGAACTTTTCCCACTCTGGAACTGGCTTTCTATACTGGGAGTGCTGGAGTAGGGAAATGCATATGGAGGAGAGCTCAGTGCAGTAGTAAGGGCTTTGGTCAAAAGCTTTTTGTGTGTTGCAGTGAAAATTACCCAGGAATTAGCCACTTTCTGCAGTGCTTACCCATAGAAAATAAAGTCTCTGATTAGCCTGGGAGAGTTTTCCCACCCTTTTTACACTTGTCACCACTGGTGGTTGCTGATTCCCCATCTTCTGGCAGGGGCTTTATGAAGCAAATCTTTGTCCTGATGTTCAGAGAATGGCCAAACTAACAGCTTTTTCCCAGCCATGGTGGCAAACCCACTGTGGTTTATTTCCAGGATATTTCACTAAACTCATAAGCTGTGTTGAGGTACCAGACTTGTGCTCCAGCACCAGCAGCTCTCACACTGGGGCTGTATCCAGAGATGGATCCCCTTCACCACTCACTGCACACAGCCACACACACTGTCCTCTCTCCCTCTGCAATAATTATTTGATATTTTCAAAGCAATTACTTTTAAGATGGAGCTCATTTAAGTTTCTTCCTCTGTAGAAGTGAGCCAGCTCTAACCATCATTTCATTGCCAGGTTGTCACAAATGCCCATGAAGACCTTTCTGCCAAGAAGTAATAGGCAGTTACTGATGTGATACTCAGTTCTTCCATTAAAGAACCTGTGCAGGGGAAAAAAATTGAACAATGTTAAAAGGTCTAAGGAAAATTTCATAGCCCACAATTTCCTTTCATTATGAACAGTTATATCCAATTGTTGAGCTGATGTAATATATAAAAAGAGAAGCTTTCAAGAAATTATCTCAAAATGTCACAAAAAAAAAAAGTCTGGGAAATAGCTTAAATCTTTTTTTCTTCTGCACCTATTTTTTAAATAGTTTTATTTCAAATCAATTATAATCACTCACTGTAGGCTGACACTGAAGTCTGCTTTAAACAAGTAATTTTATATTCTTTGTGTCATCATCTCTCTCAGGACTGGGCTGTTAGTGGCCAGGGAAGGAAAAAAAATATTTCAAAGCGAGGGTAGATGGAGTAGTGAGAGCAAGCACAACCCCATTGTGGTTGTGCACATGCATTGTGAAATCAAACCAAGCCAAAGCTAGTTTTAAAGTCATTTTTTGGCAGTGAGATAAAGCCTCATTCTGTTTTCAGCTTTACCTTCCCCCCTCCAGCACAGTCAATCCAATAAGAAGGCTCCAGGGAGACGTTGAAGCAACTTCTGGTACTTAAAGGAGACCTGCTGGAGAGCTGGAGATGGGCTTTGTACAAGGGGCTGGGATGTAGGATGAAGGGTGATGGCTCTAAACTGACAGAGGGCAGTGTTAGGAAGAAAGTAATCAGTGTGAGCATGGGGAGGTGCTGGTAAAAGTTGTGCAGAGAAGCTGTGGCTGCCCCATCCCTGGAAGTGCTCAAAACCAAGTTGGATGGGGCTTGGAGCAACCTGGTGTGGTGGAAGGTGTCCCTCAGTCACTGAGTGCACATTACTGCTCATGAGACCAGGCTGAGCTCAGCTGCAGGAGAAAAAAGAACAAAAAGCCACATATTTACATTTCTTGATGCCTGTTTAGTCAGCTGCACCAATCCATAACTGAATGAAACACAGCAGCAGACAAATACCATCAGTTCACAGAACTAAAGACAGCTGGGGGAAAGGGAGGGGCTGGGGTGTTGTGGCGTTGTTTTCATATTACCATAACATACATAAAGTGCTTTAAAATGCATCACTTTCAGTCATTTCCATTACAAACTCAGAGAGAGTGAAATGTTGAAACTAAAGTGACAGGACTCAGAACAAAACATTTTGTGGAAAACAGGCGTAGGAGATGTGCAGTAAGCACTGGTGGTGGCTATGCCAGCTCCTGTGTGACACTGTGATGAGTGAAGAAGGTTTTGTCTGTTGAGGCAATAGCAGCAGATGTTGGCATTTTTATAGCAAAGCAGTCTCATTTTCTTTGTGCACTTAAATCAAAATCGCTAACACTCAGCAATGCATGAGGAGTGTAGGTGACTCAAATGTAAAGATGGAGTTAATCTCTCTCAACACAGATAATAATGTCTCTCTCAACACAGATCATAAATAAAATTAAGTCTTAGCTATGAAAGTGCCGTTTAACACTTCACTTTAGTAGTAAAATACTGTGAAAAATTAATGTCAATAATACTTAGATTCCATATTGCAGCAACCCACTTGCTTTTCACACTCCTGCTTGCAACAGTCGCCAGAATTGGTTTGGGCTCAGGGTCAGCACAACAGATGACCACATCTTGACTGCTTTGCTGACCCACTACCTCACAGGACCTAAGGGATGTCAAACCATTTTTTCTGAGATGGATGGTGATGAGAGCAAAGGTGTTTCCATGGCGTCTAGGCCTGACTGTATGGAAGTGTGAAAAGATGGCCTGGGGTAAACTTAGAGCAAACTGAGAAGTTGTGTTTGCATCCTGACAGTACAGAGAGGGTAAAATAGAATTGCTACTCCCTGGCAGAAACTTGGTTGGCATGTTCAAAACTATTCCACGGTGAGTCCCCACACCCAAAACCTGCAGCCAGAACCTCCCAAGGGGATGGAATGGAGGGTGGGGTGGGTTGGAGACACCTGGCCAGGCTCTGGAGAAATTCTTGCAGGGAGGGGAGCTCTCCAGGGAGACTTGGAGCAGCTTCCAGTACCTGGAGGGGCTACAGCAAAGCTGGAGAGGGACTTTTGACAAGGGCATGGAGTGACAGGACACTTTGAGGGTGTTGAGATAGTGAAACAGGTCACCCAAAGAAGTTGTAGATGCTCCTTTCCTGGAAATGTTCAAAGCTGGGTTGGATGGAGCTCTGAGCAACTGGGTCTGGTGGAAGGGGCAGGGGAGATGGTCCCTTTCCAACCCAAACCATTCCATGATTCTATGATAAAAGTCCAAACACAACACAAATTCTTACCTCAGAAGAGGATGATCACTGGTGACAGCTCAGAATCAACAGGCAACTTTCTGGCCCTCACTGCATTTTTAGGCTCCACTAAACCACTGTAACAATGCAAATACAACAAATATCTTTCATACTCCCCAGCTCATCAAGAGTAAAATTAAAAATTCCAGCACTTAGAACACTTGAAAGGATGCTCCCCTTTCACCATGATGATCCCTGTGTAGATTTATCATTCATTCAGCAAGGAATTAACATAATATGACTATGGAAATACGCATATTTATTGAGAAAGAAAAATCTTCAAATGCTTTGTTTGCTGACCTATCTTAGTTTGCTGTTTTATAGGAGCACTTACCCTCTTGGGCACTATCTCAAGGAAGAATGTTTCAACACATCTACATATCTTTCCCCCACACTGTCCTCTCTGACTTGAAACATGACAGCACTAAAAATGGGTGATTTGATGGAAGACAGAGGTGTGGAAGAGGTCTCACATTCCTGAAGACAAAGCATTTCACCTCTCTGAAACCACATTTCTTTTAAAAAAAGAGAAAAGAAAGAAAACAGCTGAGATTGTTTTACCATCTGATCCCAGTTCCAGACTTGAGAGCAGAAGCTCAGCTTGTTTTCCTTACGTGTGCTGTTAAAAAGTCTGGCCTTCTTTCCTTTTTTTTCTTTAACTCATGGCAATTGTCCCTCTTGCCTGAGCCAGGCTAGCTCACCTCTGTGAACATCCCAGAACTGCAGCACGATTTCTCCAAGCAGCAGCAGCACCTCTGCCAGGTCCCAGCAGAAGCTGAGTTACAGCCAAGCAGTAAAGGAAAGCAATAAAACAATAAAAAGCAATAAAATAAAAATAAAAAATAAAGCAATAGAACACCCCCTCCTCAGAGCCCCTGCAGGTCCTGAGGACTCCACTCATCCACTGAGACTGGAAAAGCCCCAGTATCCAAATGGAAGCACAGGTGACAGCTCTGCTGGAGGCTGGCAGGGACAGCGATGTCCACACGGGAATGCAGCATCTGAGACAGTCTGGGGGATCCAGACCAGAGACAAACCCCACACCTCTCTCAGGAGACCCAGGCACCCTCATTCAGTCACCACCACACCTCCCCGTGCTGCTGGAGGTGAGCATCTTCTCCTCATCCCAGCATGAACACAGCTACATTAATCCAGACTCCATAGCTGTTGACTTTCACCCATTTTAAAACAGCACTAGTAACTTTTAATAAAATCATGTTGAACAAGACAAAAAGTAGGTTAAAATCACATCATTTTCTCATTTGCACTGTACTAATAGCAACATATATGAACACCACCACACAGCACAAAACTGCAGCATATCCCTTTTACAGAGTCAATCCACAACAAATTTCCATTTAGAAGGTAATTTCATGATTTATACCCAGTCTTTTCCATTTTCTTTTCAAAAGGTTTGTTCCAAGATGGTACATAAATCCAGTGCTTTTAAAGCAAAACAAACAAACAAACAAATCACTTAAACATTTCCTCAAAAAACTGTATTAAACCAAAAGATTTCACAGGATAAGGAAAATCAGAGAAAGATCAAGACAACAGTCAACAAGGCCAGAACAATCAAGCCCAAGAAATACTGAGACAGGTTTGTTTCACAGCAAAACATCTCTCAAAATGAAAGTTCTAATAAATTCCAGACTGTACTCACATTTTTTTCCTTTTTTTCATTGTAAATGTTACACATCTTTAGAAGGACACTGCTATATTACAGTTTCTTAAAAACAATAAAAAGGCAGAGAGTAAAA